AGGGGACAAAAAACAACAACACAAATACAGGTAGGCATTTGGGCATTTGCCTAACCCACTTCCAGAGTTTCTCAGTTGCTGGGGCGGCAGGCAATGCTATAGTTGGGCTCCCACACTCTTCACTATCTTCTCCGTGTTCCTTGCAGTAGCTCGGACTGCTTCCCTCAGTGCTCCCTCCCTCTCACCTCTAGGCCTTTGCATATGCTGCTTCTTCCTGAAACAGCCTCTATACCCTTGGCCTGGTGAATAACTTTTTGTCCTTCAGGATGCAGTTCTGCCGTGACCTCCTCCAGGAAGCCATCCTTGATTTCTCCCAGGTCAGGCGATGTGCTCCCTTAGCACAATGCCCTCCTCTTCTACCCACGCAAGCCATAGCAGTGAGGCTGCCAATGGTGACAATGCACTAAGGAACAATGCACTGAGGTCGGGTGCAGTGGCTCATGTCTATAATCCCAGCACTTTGGGAGGCTGAGGTGGGAGGATCACCTGAGGTTGGGAGTTTGAGACCAGCCTGACCAACATGGAGAAACATCATCGCCACAAAAAATACAAAATTAGCTGGGTATGGTGGCACATGCCTGTAATCCCAGCTAAGCTACTCGGGAGGCTCAGGCAGGAGAATCACTTGAACCCGGGAGGTGAAGGTTGCAGTGAGCCAAGATCAAATAATTGCACTCCAGCCTGGGCAACAAGAGCCAAACTCCATCTCAAAAAAAGAAAAAAGAAACAATGCACTAGTTTCTGGGTGACTGGGGAAGGAGAAAGACAGTGTAAAGTCAAGTCTACTCTGGATGTATTAAAGCAGGAAGGTGACTCTTCTCTGTTCTGGGATCTGTCTCCAGAGAGTTACATTTGATCTGTTTAGGAGAGTGGATTGGCACATGGGCTCTGGAGCCAGACTCTCTGAGTCCAAATTCTGGCTCTGACACTAACCAGCGTGTGGCCATGAGCCTTGACCTCTTCCTCATCTGTAATATGGAAATAGTAATAGAAACTACCTCATAGGGATATAGTGAGAATCACTTGTATTATGGGTTTCCTCTTAATATTGTTACTATTTTTAAAAAGCTTTTTTATTTTATTTTGTGTTTTAGAGACAGGGTCTCACTCTGTTGCCCAGGCTGGAGTGCAGTAACAAGATCATAACTTACCGTACCCTTGGACTTGAGGACTCAAGGTATCTTATTTTCTCAGCATCCTGAGAAGCTGGGACTACAACAGGTACCTGCCGCCATGGGTGGTTAATTCAAAAAAATCTTGTTGGCGGGGCGCAGTGGCTCACGCCTGTAATCTCAGCTCTTTGAGAGACCTAGGTGGGTGGATCACTTGAGATCAGGAGTTCGAGACCAGCCTGGCCAACATGGTGAAATCCCTTCTCTACTAAAAATACAAAAATTAGCTGGGTATGGTGGCCCATGCCTGTAGTCTTAGCTACTCAGGAGGCTGAGGCAGGAGAATCGCTTGAACCTGAGAGGCGGAAGTTGCAGTAAGTGAAGATGGCGCCACTGCACTCCAGCCTGGGTGACAATGCAAGGCTCTGCCTCTAAATAAATAAATAAGTTTTGCTGTAGAGACAAGGCCTCACTACGTAGCCCAGTCTCCTACTCCTGGCCTCAAGCAGTCATCCGGCCCGGCCTCCCAAAGTGCTGGGATTACAGGCGTGAGCCACTGAGTCCAGGCTATTATTACTATTTATTTCTTTCCTCCTCCCTGGAGCCCCATACTAGGACAAGGCTACATTAGGCACTCTCACTGCATGTCTAGATTCCCTTCTTAGCCCTTCCCGTGCCCTATACTTTTATATCCCCCATGGGATTAATGAGGGCTGTCACTTCCTCTGTAGGCTGACTATGGGCCATGCAAGTGGCGCCTGGCCTGTTTGCTGGCCACAGCATTCCTAGATCCAGTGCCTGACACTTCAGAATTGCTCAACATGTTTTTTCTTTATGCCGAGAAATGCATCTCTGTTTTTTTTTTTTTTTTAAACTTTTTTTTTTAGAGACAGAGTCTGTCTTTGTCGCCCAGGCTGGAGTACAGTGGCGCAATCACAGCTCACTGCAGCCTTGAGCACCTGGGCTCAAGCAATCCTCCCCCCTCAACTTCCTGAGTAGCTGAGACTACAGCCTTGTGTCACCATGCCCAGCTGATTTTTTGTATTTTTTGTAGAGACAGGGTCTCGCTGTGTTATCCAGACTGGTCTCAAACTCCTAGACTCAAGTATCTGCTGCCTGGGCCTCCCAAAGTGTTGGAATTACAAGCATGAGCCACTGTGGCCAGCTGAGAAATGTACGTCAGTATTATGGAGCAAGAGGACAGAGTCATGGTGGTTCTGGGAACAAATACTAAGATTTTAAAATAAACCAGTTTTGAAATAGACGTCACAGAGGAGACAGAGAAGTGGCTCAACTCCTTCTCCCTATTGCAGGCGCCTGATGTAAGAGCTCAGTAAAAGATGAACCTGGGTAGGTTGCAAGCTGCTGCCTTGGCTTCCTCCAAGCGCTGCAGGGTTTCTGGGACTAAAGGGAGCTCTGTGGATCTTTCTGGGAATGTTCTGGGTGCGTGGGGTTGGATCAGCCTGTTTCAGTTCTCCACAGATGAAGAGAACTTGCCAGGGCCTGGGCGACCCTCTGTGATCCAGCCCTGCCCATCTTGCAGTTACTGCATGCTTTTCTCCTGTCCTGTCATGCTCCAGCCTCAATGGTCTGTTCCCAACGTGCCACGCTCACAGCCTTTGCACTTGCTGTTCCTTCTGCCTAGATGGCTTTTCCCTCAGCTCTTCACAAGTCTGATTCCTTATCATTTAGGTCCCAGCTCAACTGAGACCCTAGAGAGGCCTTCCCTGAAGTCCCTACCCTCAACTCTCCATCATTGCAGAAAGTTCTATTGGGTACCACTGCTCTTGACCACAGACATGCATTACATTTTCCTACTTCTGTCCTTTGCTCATGTTATTTGCTTTGCCTGGAATGCTTTACCTGACCTTAATAGAAATCCAACTCATGTAGAATTTGGTAATATGTTAAAAGTCTTAAAATTAGTTCAGCAATGCCACTTGTCAGAATGTATCCTTAAGGAAATAACTGTTGATATATGCAAAGATTTAGCTACAAGGATGTTCAGTGCAACACTGTTTACAATAGCAAAAATAGAGGCTGTGTGCAGTGGCTCATGCCTGTAACCTCAACACATTGGGAGGCTGAGGGAGGTGGATTGCTTGAGCCCAGCAGTTTGAGAGCAGCCTGGGCAACACAGGGAGACTGGTCTCTGAAAAAAAAAGAAAAAAGAGGCTGGGTGCGGGCTCACGCCTGTAATCCCAGGACTCTGGGAGGCCGAGGCGGGCGAATCACGAGGTCAGGAGATACAGACCATCCTGGCTAACACAGTGAAACCCTGTCTCTACTAAAATAATACAAAATATTAGCCAGGCGTAGTGCTGGGTGCCTGTAGTCCCAGTTACTCGGGAGGCTGAGGCAGGAGAATGGCGTGAACTTGGGAGGCAGAGCTTTCAGTGAGCCGAGATCGCGCCACTGCACTCCAGCCTGGGTGACAAAGCGAGACTCCGTCTCAAAAAAAAAAAAAAAAAAAAAAAAGAAAGAAAGGAAAAAGAAATTGAGTTGAGGCTGGATGCAGTGGTTCATGCCTGTAATCCCAGAACTTTGGGGGACCAAGGTGGAAGAGTCAGTTGAGGCTAGGAGTTTGAGACCAGCCTGAGCAACATAGTGAGACCCTCATCTCTTAAAAAAAAGAAAAAAAAAATTTAGCCCAGTATGGTGGTGCAAGCCTGCAGTCCCAGCCACTCAGGCTGAGGTGGAAGGATCCCTTGAGCTCAGGAAGTCAAGGCTGCAGTGAGCAGTGATTGTGCCACAGCACTTCAGTCTGGGTGACAGAGCAAGACCCAGTCAAAAATAAATAAATAAAGTCCCCTGAATTATAAAGACCAGATCAAACAGTCTAGAAAAGGGCTTGACAGAGTGAGCACTGAACAAACATCAGCTGCTTTTATGCATAGGAGAGTAGAGGAGATTTTTGCCGAAACTTTGAGCAGGTGCTTCTAGGCAGAGAGATTAAAATGATTTCGTTCTCTTCTTTTGGTTTATCTCCCGTTCCCAAGTTTTATCTTATGAACATGTATTTCTTTTGAAATAAGGGAGAGAGACAATAAGAGATATATTTTTTTAAATCTTCAAGGCTCAACTCAAGTGATGGTCCTCCATGAAGCCTTTTTTCCGTGATTCTCGGGTCCTCCCCCGCCCCGGATCCCACCCAGCCTTGTAGGTGTCTGGTCATACTGTCCACTAGAGAGCAAAGTGTCTCTGGGGTCTGCACCAGCAGGTCTGATGAACGAACAGGGGAGGGAGGGAGCCTGTACCCCCACCACTTCCTCAGGGGAGCTTGCCTAAAGTTTGCTACTGAGCATCCGGACAGAAGCCACTGGCCAGCACTGACGTTCCACGATGAGCCCAGAGGATGTGACGATCATCTGCCCATTATTTTTACTCTTGGACCCCCCACCTCCGGAGTTTGGGGGTCCCTGTGTGTCAGTGGGAACTAGGAGGAGCTGAGCATGAGTGCTAGCTGCGTTTGCGAGATTTCAGGGGTTTTGAGCTAAGCCAGCGGTGCTCTGCGTCGGCCCTCCTCCCTCCCCAGTCCCCGCCGCATGTTCTTTTTCTTTGGGCGGTGGGTTGGGCAATTATGCTCTGCGGCGACCCGGACGGTAAGATCTGAGTGCCAGGCGCCCCGCCCCTCCGTGCTAACCTAGTAAGCATGTGGGCTTTTTCTTTTTCTTTTTTCTTTTTTCTTTTTTTTTTGAGACGGAGTCTCGCTCTGTCGCCCAGGCTGGAGTGCAATGGTGCGATCTCGGCTCACTGCAACCTCCGCCTCCCGGGTTCAAGCGATCCTCCTGCCTCAGCCTCCTGAGTAGCTGGGATTACAGGCGCGCGCCACCACGCCCGACTATTTTTTGTATTTTTAGTAAAGATGGGGTTTCACCATGTTGCCCAGGCTGGTCTCGATCTCCTGACCTGGTGATCCGCCCGCCTCGGCCTCGCAAAGTGCTGGGAATACATGTTTAAGCCACCGCGCCTGGCCGAGTGTGGGCTTTCAAGTCCAACGTTCAGGTTCAAATTCTGCCTCCCCACCTGCCAACTCCAAAAGTTAAACTTTCGTGTGCCTCTGTGTTCTTATCTGCAGAATGGAGATAACCAAGAAAACAGCATCTGAAATCCGCTCGAGGTACAACGGTAATGGTTCCTATTTCTAGCCCGAGACACGAGACGCTAGCCAGGGAAGCTGTCGGCGGGCGCTACAGAGCCGCGGGAGGGCCCCGTTTATTCCCCCAAAACCACAGCCCGGAAAGCGCCCCCGCCCCGGCGCGTCCCGCCCGCGTCCCAGCCCGACTCCTGGTTTCCTGCCCTGTCCCGGCCTGGGCCCAGCCTAGCCCGCCCCGGAGCGGGCGTCTCCCTCCGGCTCCAGGGAGCGGAAAGGGTTGGGCCGGTGGGAGGAGCCCAAGGCCGGTGACGACGGACGCCGCGGGTCGAAGGGGCCGAAGAACTCGGCGGCGAAGGTGACCACGTCCTCCGGCTGCCGCAGCAGCAGGAAGAGCAGGAAGTCGGAGATGAGCGCGTGGGCTTCGGGGTGCTGCCGCAGATAGCTGGCGTGGCCGAGCCGGAGCTCCTCCTGGCGGGGGACAGAGCCCGAGCCTCAGCCGGACGGGATCCCCGCGCCCCAGAAGCCCCCACCCACTCGCTCCAAGGAGAGCTAAGGGGCACTGGAGACTTCTAGCCCCTATGGGTGTGCATTTCAATCAGGGGCAGAGAGATCAGTAATGAATTTAAGGCCCATGGGGGAATGGGAACCCCAGGCTGGTGGAGCCTCCCCTCACCTTACGGTCCAGGAACTTCGAATAGAGCTCCATATCCTCCTCCCACACCGGGGGCTTCTTCTCAAACACTGGGCGTGGCTCAATCTCATCTGGGTGGGGAACAAAGAAGGCTGGGCGTCCCCACCCCAGAACCTTCCCTGGATACACAGCGGGATCCCGAGAACACCCAAACAGAAGGCTCAGGTGAAACCCCAGGATTCTGCACACATGGGCAGAGTTGCAGGAAGGGACTTCCAGTAAGAAAGATCCTCCTCTTACTGCTTGGGGTCGGGCTGGAGGGCAGATGTTCTCCAGCTGAGCCCCCTGCATCCTGGAAGGCCCAGGTTTTCCCACTCCTCTTCACTCTCCCTGGCTGCCCAAGGCCTGGGCTTCACTCACCCTCTTCCCTCAAGATGGGCATCTTGGTGATGATGCAGCATCCTGGGGAGCCCACCTGTGTTCTCTTGGCCAGGTGCCTGGAGTGCAACACAACATGTGAGAGTGAGAATCTTCCCAGGCAGCCTGCTATGGACTGAATTGTTGTTCTAACCCCCCAGTGTGGTGGTATTTGGAGGTAGGGCCTTTGGGGAGGTCATTATGTTACATGCAGTCATAAGGGTGGGGCCCTAATCAGATAGGATTGGTCCTCTTATAAGAAAAGGAAGAGATGCCAGAGAGCTTTCTCTTCACTCATGCACAGAAGAAAGGCCATGTGAAGATACATTGAGAAGGCAGCCATCTGCAAGCTAGGAAGAGAGCCCTCACCAGAAAGCAACCCTGATGGCACCATGATCTTGGACTTCCAGCCTTCCTGCAAATACGTTTCTCTTGAAGCCACCCAGCCTGTGGTATTTTGTTACGGCAGCCTAAGCTGACTCATACATGACAGTGCCCCTCGAGAGACCTGTCCTGGGCCTCTTTACTTCTGCCTCCCTCTCTCGTTTTTTGAGTTCCTGGGTGATGGTCATTTCTGGATCTGCACATAACACACAGGGCTTGGCAAGTATTAGGCTCCCCGTTTAAAAAACAAACAAAAAGGATCTTTAGAGGTACAGCACTAGTAAATCCTGGAGCCTCTTGGCCAGGCACGATGGCTCATGCCTGTAATCCTAGCACTTTGGGAGGCTGATATGGGTGGATCAGTTGAGGTCAGGAGTTTGAGACCATCCTGGCCAACATAGCGAAATGCCGTCTGTACTAAAAATACAAAAAACCGGGCAGACATGGCAGGCGCCTGTAATCACAGCTATTTCGGTGGCTAAGGCATGAGAATCACTTGAACCTGGGAGGTGGAGGTTGTAGTGAACCAAGATTGCATCACTGTACTCCAGTCTGGGCAACAGAGCAAGACTGTCTCAAAAAGAGAAAGAGGCCTGTCACAGTGGCTTATGCTTGTTGCAGTGGCTCATGCCTGTAATTCCAGCACTTTAGGAGGCCAAGATGAGTGGATCACTTGAGGTCAGGTGTTCGAGACCAGCCTGGCCAACATGGTGAAACCCCGTTTCTACTAAAAATACAAAAATTAGCCAGGCATGGTGGCAGGCACCTGTAGTCCCAGCGACTTGGGAGGCTGAAGCAAGGGGATCACTTGAACCTGGAAGGCAGAGGTTGCAGTTAGCTAAGATCATGCCATGGCATTCCAGTCTAGGCAACAGAGCGAGACTCCATCAAGAAACAGAGACGGAGAGAGGAAGGAAGGAAGGAGGAAGGGAGGGAAGGAGGGGAGGAAAGAAGGAAGGAAGGAGGGAGGGAGGAAGGGAGGGAAGAAGGGAAGGAAGGAAGGAAGGAGAGAGAGACAGATAAAGAAAGAAAGAAAAGAAAAATTATGGAATCTCCTGCTATGTGGCATTCAAAATAGAAAGGTTGGCCTGGAGCTGTGGTGCATACCTGTAGTCGCAGCTACTAGGAAGGCTGAAGCAGGGGATTGCTTGAGCCCAGGAGTTGGAGGCTGCAGTGGGCTATGAGCGCACCAAAACCAAAAACATACTAAGTTATGAGATAATGCCAACAATGTTTTGATTACCTTTTCCCCAGTGTAGCGGTCATGTCAATACCTATTCTGAATTTTTAAGAAATAAACTCGGCTGGACTCTTATCTCAAAAAGAAACAAAAAACCTCTTTCTTCCACCTGCATTTTCTTTGCTGTCCCCTAGGCTGGAGTGCAGTGGCATGATCTCAGCTCACTGCAAGCTCTGACTCCTGGGTTCACACCATTCTCCTGCCTCAGCCTCCCGAGTAGCTGGGACTACAGGTGCCCGCCACCATGCCTGGCTAATTTTTTGTATTTTTAGTAGAGACGGGGTTTCACCGTGTTAGCCAGGATGGTCTCAATCTCCTGACCTTGTGATCCGCCCGCCTCGGCCTCCCAAAGTGCTGGGATTACAGGCGTGAGCCACCACTCCTGGCCCTGAATTTTCTTATGATTTGAAGCCAGTGCTTTGCTGGAGACTGCATGGCAGCCTGCCACAGGCAACTCTTCCAGCACAGTGATTTCATCAGGTGTGCAGTCATTCAAACCTTGGTGGTTTTCAATATTACCCCTTATGCAGTGGTGGATCACTAGTTACACCTCAGGCCTGTGGTGTGCAGTGAAGTTTGGGAGGCACTGTGAGGGTTAAGAGGATGAGCAAATAAATGAAGAAAGAGTGAATGATACGGATAAAGCGGAGGGACACTCCTATCTCAATGCCAGCTCTTCCTGGTGCTATCCCCAGAAGCAGCTGGTCTCCTTGAGCACCTACAAGCTCAGCACCACCCCTCTGGGCCCACCATCAGCAGCTCACCCATCGGAGAGCAGGTAGTACTGGCAGGACATGGGAATGCCCTCCTCTGAGTGGACAGTCTGCTCCACGATGAAGACTTTGACTTGCTGATGGTCTACCTGGATGGTCTGGAAGCCCAGGTCTTGCTGGCAACAGCCAAAATTGGGGGGTGGGAGGTAAGGTGGATGCCCGCCAAGGGCTCCCCATCATCTCAGCCTTTTCTGTATCTCATAACAACCTCCCAACATTTGAGGTTGCATCTCCAAACCTCCAAGCTCAGTTGGCGACCCCTCATAGGGAGCTAGCTCCAGGTTGCCCGTGCCCTGACCCTTCCCATGTCATCTCGCTGACTAAGTGCTTCTAGTTGGCAAATTCTGTTACAGGGATGAGAAGCAGTATGGGGAGGGGTGTGGGAGTGGAGAGGGAGGATGAGCTACTAGGGCCAGTGGGTGGAGGTAAAGTGAGGCTCAGAGGTGTGAGACCAGATTTGTGGCCACCTCAGACCTGTGCTGCTGCTGGCAGGCTGTCCCTGTTGTAATTAAAACTTAAACCCCTGTTATAGCTGCGGCTATGGAGAGAAAAGTGCTAATGTTAAACACATGTTTCAAAGAACACGGAGGGGAATGGATTGTGCTTGTTCATGTCAAATGCATTGCTGCTTGGGGTGTTTTGGTAGACAAGCCTGGAATGTAATTTACAAAGATGGTCAAAGAAACACAAATCAGCCCCCAAAGTGTCTCACTGGAAATTGTGTGTTCAGTGACACGGCTCTAAAATCACCTATTGCAGCAAGTCCTAGGCATGCGATCATGAAATTTTAGTTAAAAAGAAAAAATAAAACAGAAACGGAACACCCTCTGGGGTTAAGAAATAATAAAGGAAGGGCCGGGCACAGTGGCTCACGCCTGTAATCCCAGCACTCTGGGAGGCTGAGGCAGGCAGATCACAAGGTCAGGAGTTCAAGACCAGCCTGGCCAACATGGTGAAACCCCATCTCTACTAAAAATACAAAAATTAGCCAGGTGTGGTGGCACATGTCTGTATTCCCAGCTACTTGGGAGACTGAGGCAGGAAAATAGCTTGAAGTCAGGAGGCGGAGGTTGCAGTGAGCCAAGACTGCGCCACTGCGCTCCAGCCTGGCAACAGAGCGAGACTCCGTCTCAAACAAACAAGCAAACAAATGAAATAATAAAGGAATATTTCAGTAAAATTGGACAATTATACTTCCTAAAGTTAAAAAATGATTTATTTTTATTTATTGATTTTTTTGAGACAGAGTCTCCCTCTGTTGCCCAGGCTGGAGTGCAGTTGTGCCATCTCGCCTCACTGCAACCTTTGCCTCCTGGGTTCAAGTGATGATTCTCCTGCCTCAGCCTCCCGAGTAGCTGGGATTATAGGCGCCCACCACTATGCCCAGCTAATTTTTGAATTTTTAGTAGAGACAGGGTTTCACCATATTGGCCAGGCTGATCTTGACCTCCTAACTTCAAGTGATCTGCCCACCTTTGCCTCCCAAAGTGCTAGGATTACAGGCATGAGTCACTGTGCCTGGCAAAAATGATGTATTTTTTAAATCAGCCCTGCACTGTATTTATTTTTCCTGGACTGACTTCTGTGCGGAAGGGTTGCTTCTCTGAACTGTTCCCACCTCTCAGTCGCTCTCAATTCATCTGCCCCACACTCCCAAACATGCTTTCCTGCCCTTGAAAGCCCCATTCCCACCTATGCTGTTTTCTCCCCACCTGCCTCCCTTTTCTACTCCACAGCTGTTCCCGATCTCAGTGCTTTTCAATCCCTTTCTAGTTTGCTCCCAAGCCAAGTCCCCTGCCCAGGGAGACCCCTCACATAGGTCAAATAGCAGAGTTTGCCCTCGGTGTCCAAGGCCAGGAAGCGGCCGTTGCTGGGCACCATCCGCCGCCAGGCCATCACCCTGAGCAGCACCAGGTTGGCAGCCTCTGAGACGAAGCCCTTGATTGAGCTCCACGGGAAAGAAGTCACTCCAGTCTTCACTTCCTGTTCAGAACAGATCTGGGTCAGGGACCTGGAACCAGGAAGGGGCAGGGGACAAAGGGTGGGCAAGCCGGGTGATGGGCATATGTTTTTTGTTTGTTTGTTTTGTTTTTAGACGGAGTTTTGCTTTTTGTCACCTAGGCTGGAGTACAATGGAATGGTCTCAGCTCACTGTAACCTCCGCCTCCTGGGTTCAAACGATCTTCTGCCTCAGCCTCTCAACTAGCTGGGATTACAGGCCACCATGCCTGACTAATTTTTGTAATTTTAGTAGAGACTGGGTTTCACCATGTTGGCCAGGCTGGTCTCGAACTCCTGACCTGAGATGATCTGCCCGCTTTGGCCTCCTAAAGTGCTGGGATTACAGGTGCGAGCCACTGTGCCTGGCCTTTTTTTTTTTTTTTTTTTTTTTGTTGAGACAGGGTCTTGCTCTGTTGCCCGGACTGGAGTGAAGTGGTGCAATCTCGGCTCACTGCAACCTCCAGCTCCCGGGTTCAAGTGATTCTCCTGTCAGCCTCCCGAGTAGCTGGGATAACAGGCGCATGACACTACACCTGGCTAATTTTTGTGTTTTTATGAGAGATAGGACTTCACCATATTGGCCATGCTGGTCTCCACCTCCTGACCTCAAGTGATCCGCCCGCCTCGGCCTCCCAAAGTGCTGAAATTACAGGTGAGAGCCACTGTGCACCTGGCTTTCAGCTGGGCATATGGTTTTTAATGAATCCTCAGTCCAGACTTGTGGGAAGTCAGGGACCCTGAACAGAGGGACCCGCTGAAGCCACAGCAGAACATAAATTGTGAAGATTTCATGAACATTTTTAGTTCCCCAAATTAATACTTTTATAATTTCTTACGCCTGTCTTTACTGCAATCTCTGGGCATAAATTGTGAAGATTTCATGGACACTTATCACTTCCCCAATCAATACCCTTGTGATTTCCTATGCCTGTCTTTACTTTAATCTCTTAATCCTGTCATCTTCTTAAGCTGAGGAGGATGTATGTCGCCTCAGGACCCTGTTATGATTGCGTTAACTGCACAAATTGTTTGTAGAGCATGTGTGCTTGAATAATATGAAATCTGGGCACCTTGAAAAAAGAACAAGATAACAGCAATGTTCAGGGAACAAGGGAGATAACCTTAAACTCTGACTGCTGGTGAGCCGGGCGCAACAGAGCCATATTTCTCATCTTTCAAAAGCAAATAGGAGAAATATCGCTGAATTCTTTTTCTCAGCAAGGAACATCCCTGAGAAAGAGAACGTGCCCCTGAGGGTAGGCCCCTAAAATGACCGCTTTGGGGGCAGCTGTCTTTTATGGTCGAAGACAAAGGGATGAAGTAAGCCCTGGTCTCCTGTAGCGCTCCCAGGCTTATTAGGATGAGGAAATTCCCACCTAATAAATTTTGGTCAGACCAATTGTCTGCTCTCAAACCCTGTCTCCTGATAAGATGTTATCAATGACAATGTGTGCCTGTAACTTAATTAGCAATTTTAATTTCACCCCGTCCTGTGGTCCTGTGATTTCGCCCTGCCTCCATTTGCTTTGTGATATTTTATTACCTTGTGAAGCATGTGATCTCTGTGACCCACACCCTATTGGTAAGTTCCTCCCCTTTTGAAAATTACTAATAAAAACTTGCTGGCTTTATGGCTCAGGGAGCATCACGGAACCTGCCTACATGTGATGTCTCCCCCAGACACCCAGCTTTAAAATTTATCTCTTTTGTACTCTTTCCCTTTCTCAGACCAGCCAATGCTTAGGGAAATAGAAAAGAACCCACGTTGAATATCGGGGGTGGGGTTTCCCCTGATATGGACTCCTGGTTTCATCTAATCTAGTCCCTTCTCAGGGTTCTGAAGAGGACATTGTGAAAGAAAAATAAATCTTGGGACCCCAAATCACTGAGCCAAAGGGAAGTTAAGCTGGGAACTGCTTCAGGCCAAGCTGCCTCCCATTTTATTCCTAAATAAGGTAGCTACTAAGAGAAAAAAAGAGCTACATACCTCCCTCACTATTTGCCCACAAGGAAATTGCTTGTGGACAAAGGACAGACAGAACTCAAAGTCATCCCTCTGCTCACGTGGGTAAGTGCATATCTGATGGCTTTCTCTGCTCTATTGTTTCACTAAGCCAGGCTAAAGCATAAGTGACTACTTTTCTACCCCCATCACATGTAAATTGTGTATTCAGTGAAAGGCTAATCAGAAACTTAAAAGCATGTCTCTTATCTACCTATAACTTGGAAGCCCTCTCCCTGCCTCGAGTTGTCCTGCCTTTCCCAACAAACCGATGTACATTTTTTTTTTTTTTTTGAGATGGAGTCTTGCTCTGTCACCCAGGCTGGAGTGCAGTGGCATGATCTCGGCTCACTGCAAGCTCCGCCTCCCAGGTTCACGCCATTCTCCTGCCTCAGCCTCCCAAGTAGCTGGGACTACAGGCACCCGCCACCACACCTGGCTACTTTTTTGTATTTTTAGTAGAGACGGGGTTTCACCATGTCAGCCAGGATGGTCTCGATCTCCTGACCTCATGATCTGCCCACCTCGGCCTCCCGAAGTGCTGGGATTACAGGCGTGAACCACTGCACCCGGTGAACCAATGTACATCTTACACGTGTTGATTGATGTTTCATGTGTCCTTAAAATGTATAAAACCAAGCTGTGGGCTGGGCGTGGTGGCTCCCGCCTGTAATCCCAGCACTTTGGGAGGCCAAGGTGGGCGGATCACCTGGGGTGGGGAGTTTGAGACCAGCCTGGCCAACATGGAAAACCTCCCTCTCTACTAAAAATACAAAATTAGCCAGGCGTGGTGGCTCATACCTGTAATCCCAGCTACTCGGGAGGCTGAGGCAGGAGAATCACTTGAACCTGGTAGGCGGAGGTTGCAGTGAGCCGAGATGGCACCAGTGCACTCCAGCCTGGGCAACAAGAGTGAAACTCTGTTTCAAAAAAAAAAAAAAACACCAAACAAAAATAAAAACAAGCTGTGCCCCAACCACTTTGGGCACATGTTCTCAGGACCTCCTGAGGCTGTGTCATGGATGCATCCTTAACCTTGGCAAAACAAAGTCTCTAAATTGATTGGGACCTGTCTCAGATATTCTGGGTTCACAGTGTGGAGTGCAACTCCCATCTGCCTCTCATCCTTACCTCACCCTCCTTGATGCTTCTGGTCACAGTCAGCTGATCATCTTGCTTCAGCAAACTCATCTTCCGTTCCATGGGGAGGATGAGGAACTGAGGGCCAGAGCATGCCAGGGAGGATCAGGGACTCCCTGGGTTCCCCAGAGGTCACCTGACCCTTCTCCATTAATGAGAAAACTGAGGTTTAAAGATTGTGACTTAAAAAAACAGCAACTGGGTCAGGCGCGGTGGTTCACGCCTGTAATCCCAGCACTGTGGGAGGCCAAAGCGGGCAGATCATGAGGTCAGGAGATCAAGACCATCCTGGCTAACATGGTGAAACCCCGTGTCTACTAAAAATACAAAAATTAAACTGGGCATGGTGGCACATGCCTGTAATCCCAGCTACTCGGGAGGCTGAGGCAGGAGAATTGCTTGAACCCGGGAGGCAGAAGTTGCAGTGAGTCAAGATCACGCCACTACACTCCAGCCTGGGCAACAGAGCGAGACTCCATCTCAAAAATAAAACAAAACAAAACAAAAACAAGCAGCAGAGCCGGGTGTTGTGGCTCATACCTGTAATCCCAGCACTTTGGGAAACCCAGGTGGGCAGATCACTTGAGGTCAGGAGTTCAAGACCAGCCTGGCCAACATGGCAAAACCCTATGTCTATTAAAAATACAAAAATTACCCAGGCATGGTGGTGCACATCTGTAATTCCCAGCTACTTGGGAGGCTGAGGCAGGAGAATTGCTTGAACCCAGAAGGTGAAGGTTGCAGTGAGCTGAGATTGCACCACTGCACTCCAGCCTGGGTGATAAGAGCAAGACTCTGTCTCAATAATAATAATAATGATAATAATAATAATAAAAAATTACAAAATAAAAAACAGCTGCAACAAAACCCAAAAAATACCTTTCATACACAGTGGAGCTGAAGAATAGCAGTCATGTTATGATGAATATAAAGTTCAAAACAATGCACTTCAGAACACTGGTTTTAAAAGATGGGGGTGGGCCAGGAGCAGGGACAGCAGGTTGCCACTGATAAGTTCTCCTGATACCCAAACTCTGAGCCCAGCCCACACCAGTCCTCCTCCAGCCTGAGAGCCCAGTGCCTCCCTGAAGGCCTGGTGGGCTGGCCTTTCCCAGAGCCTAGCCTTCCCTGGGGGCCTGTTGCACCTGGCCTCCAAGTCCCCCAGCTTTGTGCCCCTCACACCCAGCCCCTGCCACTTACTTAACTTGTGGAATGTGAACATGACCTGTTTATACACTGGAAACTACTCGAGTCTAAAAACGTTCCCACAGAAACCATTCCCATCTTTTTTTTGAGTCAGAGTTTCACTCTTGTTGCCCAGGCTGGAGTGCAGTGGTGCGATCCCGGCTTACTGCAACCTTCACTTCCTGGGTTCAAGCAATTCTCCTGTCTCGGCCTCCCAAGTAGCTGGGATTACAGGTGCCCACCACCATGCCCGGATAATTTTTTTTTGCCTTTTTAGTAGAGGTGGGGTTTCACCATCTTGGCCAAGCTGGTTTTGAACTCCTGACCTCGTGATCCACCCGCCTCGGCCTCCCAAAGTGTTGAGATTACAGGCATGAGCCACTGTGCCTGGCTAATTTTGTATTTTTGGTAGAGAAAGGGTTTCTCCATGTTGGTAAGGCTGGTCTTGAACTCCCGACCTCCTGTGATCTGCCCACCTCAGCTTCCCAAAGTGCTGGGATTACAGGCATGAGCCATTGCGCACAACCTCCATCTTTTTGTTGTTGTTGTTGTTCTGTCACCCAGGCTGGAGTACAGTGGTGCGCACACTGCTTGCTGCAACCTCGACCTCCTGGGCTCCACTGAACCTTCCACCTCAGTCTCCCAAGTAGCTGAGACTACAGACACACATCACCACACCCAGCTACTTTTTGTATTTTTTTTTTTTTTTTTTTTGCGACGGAGACTCACTCTGTCGCTAGGCTGGAGTGCAGCCTAATGATCTCGGCTCACAGCAACCTCTGCCTCCCAGGTTCAAGCAATTCTCTTGCCTCAGCCTCCTGAGTAGCTGGGACTACAGGCGCGTGCCACCACGCCTGGCTAATTTTTTTTTGTACTTTAGTAGAGACAGGGTTTCACCATGTTGGCCAGGATGGTCATGATCTCGTGTTCCGCCTGCCTCCGCCTCCCGTAGTGCTGGGATTACAGGCATGAGCCACCACGCCCAGCCGCTACTTTTTGTATTTTTTGTACAAAAATTGTAAACATTTTTGGTGGGTGTTGCCATGTTGCCCGGGCTAAAACTCCTGGGCTCAAGGGATCCTCCCACCTTGGCCTCTCGAAGTGCTGGGATTATAGGCTTGAGCCATTGTGCCTGGCCCACCCTTGTCATTTTTTTATTTTTTTTCTTGAGATGGAGTCTTGCTCTGTCACCCAGGCTGGAGTGCAGTGGCGCGATCTCAGCTCACGGCAACCTCCGCCTCCTGGGTTCAAGCAATTCTCCTGCCTCAGCCTTCTGAGTAGCTGGGACTACAGGCGCATGCCACTACGCCTGGCTAATTTTTGTAGAGATGGGGTTTCACTATGTTGGCCAGGCTGGTCTCGAACTCCTCACCTCAGGGTGATCTGCCCACCTCTGCCTCCCAGAGTGCTGGGATTACAGGCGTGAGCCACTGTGCCCAGCCCACCCCCGTCTTTTAAAATCGGTGTTCTGAAGTGCATTGCTTTTGAGCTTTATATTGCATCATAACACGACTGCTATTCTTCAGCTTCACTGTGTATGAAATAGGTTTTTTGGTTTGTTGTTGCTGCTGTTTTTTAAGTCAAAATCTCTCTTCTCTCCCCTGGATTGGGTCAAGGCTGGGACCCTGGGAAGTACCTTGATGAAGTCTTGGCTGTGCTGTTCCATGAGCTCCAGCTTCTCTGAGAGATAGCCTGGGGTGCAGGGACACAGGCATTGACGTCACAGGAGATGTGGGTCAGAGGCCGAAGGAAGGGAAGGTGGTGGCCCAGGCTGGAGGACCAGGTGTAATATGGTCCCAGAAAAACTACAGGATGGGTAAGAGCTGCCCTCATCCCGAGTCCATGAGGAACTCACTGGTCCCTCCCTGACCCTGTGCCTTGTCCTGGTCCAAGGCAAAGCCAAGGGCTTGGTCCTGAGAAAAGATTCTAGGAATGGTGGAGGGCAGGGGTGGAGGAAGGGGAGGGTGACAGGCAGCAGGCGGCAGGAACGCTACCCAGGAGGGAATTTCCGCAGAGCATTTTATCCAAGAAGCCTCTGCTGAAGGCATGCACGAAAAGGCAGGATGTCAGCACGCCGAGTTTTTCCTGGTATTTCCCTCTCTGCACCTCAATGGTCAGCTCTCCCTGAGGCTCTCCAGTGTCTGAGACCATGGCCAGCGTCTCAGAGAAGAACAGCATCTGTAGCTCCTCTTCATCTGGGGTGAGGGGCCCGTGGGAACAGATAAAGCCCCTGCTCCTGGGCCCCAATCCAATCCTCTGACCCCGTGACCACCAGTGTCCCCACAGTCCCCAGCTGCCTCCTCATCCCACAGCCTTCCTCACTGGCACGGACAGGTGAAGACTTCTGCCCCAAGTCCCCATGTCCCCGGGGGACCTTCCCTTGAAGAATGTCAGCAAACAGGCCTCAGGCCTTTTCTGAGTCCCAGGAGAATCGAGGAAGAAAGAGAGAGAGAGAGAGAGAGAGAGAGAGAGAGAGAGAGAGAGAGAGAG